TTCTTAGTATAACTTCCATGCCTTACATGAAATAATTCCAGAATACAGTGATTTCGAGACATTTCGTAATTAACTATTAAGTTAAAATAAAAAATCTAACTTTTAATGCCTTTTTCGGTTTTGTTACTCGTCGCTTCGCGACTCTTTGACTTTTTCTTAATTTGCGATGCATGCGTGGTATTAATTATGGTAATCATTAGTTGCATCCGCAGTTGCATCACAAGTAATGTTTATTTATCGGATGCACGTTATTGGCACATTGAACAAAGAACGAAAACCGTAATCGCAAATCTACATGAAAAGAAAGGAGGAAATTTCCCACGCATTTTGCTACGGGATTTCGTGAGCTAAAGTCTAGCCGCGGTTTCATTTTCCGATAAACCCATAGACATAACATTTCAAAAGCAAAAAAAGGAATCTTAATAAATATTTACTTGGAATGTCTTCATGTCTGCCACAACCAAGGCAAGATCATTCTGTCTTTCGGATGCACCAAGAGAGAAATAATTGTATGTAAATTCGACTCTCAAATTTTGCATAAATACACGGTTAAGGAGTTCTGTTTTCCGAGAAAACTGTTTCTCGAAGACGTTTGCGGATATTTTACAATTATGGTCTTTCACTTTTTAAATAATTGTTAGCTTATTGTTTTGAAAATTTTTATTTCACTTTCTATGCACATTTGACTCTACGATTTTGAGAAATTTTCGAATAACCGTTAGTTTTTGTTTTGGTTTCTTTTTCGATTTCATACATACATTACACTTGAATTCAAAAGTTTCGTTGTTTATGGATAATTTAGGTGTAGTACGAATTGTTCTAAAATAAGTTTTAATTATAATTTGAATTTCGCATTTTATGCTGAACATAATACAGTTTAGCTTTAGCGCTAGAGATAAACGGGGTATAAAATTTATGAAGGAGATGTACAGCATTTTTAAACGATTTTCAATGAATGTCATTTTACCGCGAGAAAGCACATTTTCGGTTGGAGTACTTTTCGCTTCTTACGAGAATTGATTAAGAATGAGATGTGTTGAATAATTATTGATGTGCTTTAAATGTGCTTTAAAATTATGTTAATTTCACATTATAACGTGGAGATATCGAATCTTTACTTGTTTTCAGTTGATTAAACACCCTTCTCAAAAAATAATTCATTTACAATAAGGGTTTCCCACGAAGATCAAATATTTTTTAGTTCAAAGAACCTCTCAGAGATACTCATTTATAATATTTTATGATTGACAGAAATAATTTAAGATACAAAAATACTTTTATTGATTAAAAAAGTTGAAGGGTCTACTGATGCAATAAAATGTTATAAGAAACCTGTCAGAATTGTGATTTTTCGTATTTGGTCAAAGGAAAGCACTAAAATTGTGAAGATTGAATTAAACAACGGTAACAAAATATTGGACATTTACAAATGTATCATTGTTAAATGCGGATTCATCGTAATATTTTTTTCGGGGGAGGGGGTATTCACACGGAAGACGACTTATGGTTCATTCCCTCACTGTGGCTCTTTATATACAACAAAGTAACGTTTGTTAAGATGAAAATCTTGTGAAGGTTGATAAGGAATCTACTCGCTGGTAGCTCATGGTAATAATTTAATGAACTACAATATAATGAAGTTTACTGTACTGCACGATATATGATATCGATACTCTTAAATGAAAAGACGTTTGATAAAATTGCTAATATAGAACGATGAGTACAAAGAAATTGCAGTTCTTGCTACACGAGAAAATAATTGTGTAGACGAAACGAATATTTACATGATCATTATATTGCATTGTATAACTATTGAAGACCGTTCAAACACTTCACCCGACATGATTATTCTTACAAATAAATTCACAAAATTCATATCATCATTATTAAATATGTATACAGAATAGCAGCCTATCAAAGTGCTGGCAATTTTTAGAGAATTAGTAAACTGTCAAAGATGTTCATCCCTACTACTGTGTACGAAACATATCCCCCACAAACAAATTAAAATACGACCATTAACTCTTATGGAATGTACAGGAAACTTCTGATGAAAGTTCTAAATTCGATTTTGAAATAGAATTATACAAATTACATTCATTTTAAACAGTGAATCCACATTTAAAGACAGAAGCAGCTTGTACTTCTTGGGAAGAACGTTAATCCATCTAAATATCGTAATGCAATTTGTTTCGGTATATACAGAAATGTCAAAAGTGAAGTAGAAGCGCATCTCGCAATTTTGCAATAATACACAGAACCTTAATAGTGGCCACATTTTACTAAAAAGATATGAATACTTAAATAGAAACGTCTGCGGACTTTATATAGAATAGATACCTTTACATAAAGATCATTATGTTATTTAATTGTGAAACTTGAACCTACACGTCTACCATATTGTTCGTTCGAGAAATACAAGTATCATTTCAAAATTGAGTCACGGCATCAACTGAGTAAAATACGAGATCATATATTAATGTTTTGGAACGCACTATGAATAACTATGCATGAGTGATGCACTTTGGCACTAATACAAACAATGTTGAATTGTACCCTTTTGTACAAAATAACCTTGATGAATAAGAATGACAAATACTAATTAGGTTTCAGGAAATGCTAAACGATACAATGCACAACGATAATATTAATCGAGTAGAAACCACTAGGATCTTTCGTTAGAATCGTATTCAAAGAAATATATTTCTTTATTCTTTTCTGGAAATATTTTTGAACTCTTAAAAATCATTAGTATTTTGTATCATGCACTGAAACTTCGAAGCATCTTTGAACATTATTCGGGTGTTTCAGTACTTAATATTAGTGTTTTGGGATACATTTATACGGGCAACTCACCGAATTGTAAACTTCTGCAGAGTAATAAAAGAGTGTAACAAAGGTATGTACTACAATAAAAAGTACGACGTGATAAATGCTTATTTATTTTCTTAGTTATAGAGACGAGCTAACTCGCTAATGTGTCTCCATTTTTCAGTATTCACTTTCGTAATCCTTCACTAGCAAATGTTTTCGTGCACCTCAATATTATATTCATTACGGAAGCATCAAGAAGTTTATATGATGGCATGAACAGTAAGTCCAAAATGAACTCTGTCATTATAACGTTGAATGCAACACATACCATACCGTGGCATTCACTCTCCTCTGACATACACCGGACGTTGCAAAAAAATCATAATTCAAACATGTTTCCGGTGTCCTCTTCCCGTAAGGGGAATGGTCGACGCAACGAGTGGCGCAGTTGACATTCGCGAAGCAATTAAATGGTCGTTGTTGCACAGACGTCAAATACAAAGTGGAACCGACTAAAGAATATACGAATCCACAACCATTTACACAGCATGCACCAATATGAAACAAATATTTTGCACGACAAAGTCACACAGTCTACAGAATTCGTCGTCGGTCCTGACAAATTCACAGTTACAAATGAATGAAGAGCTGTATTTCTACGAGTACTAACGAACTTGTCATCACACAAGTTGCGTATATTCATGGCGTTCAAAGAAAACAAAGATTTCTAAGAGCATTGGCAACTTGTTTCTTTCGATGTGCTTTTGGAAGAAACCCCAAGGTGGAGGAATGGGTGGGGTGAAATCAGTCGGGGAGAGTGCTTGATCACTAGGGCAGGGCAAGTGACAGGCCAGCGGCAGGTGGCAAGCGGGCGATTGGGCTATCGTCTTGTACAAACGCCGCCTCCCGTAGACGAGCCACAATGTTTACATTTCATCCCCAACGCGACGGGATGACAGTAACCGAAAAACGAAGTAAGTCGTGAACGCAAACAAGGAATTTTTCCCTTCTCCATCAAGGCCCAGATTTAAATCAACATCGACAATGTCCAAAACCGTTAACGAACCCATTGCAAAAATGTTTAATGAATACGAAACGCATTCAATGCAGGAACAGACAGGTAAGAAGTATACATTATATGAAAAAAAAATCGAAGGAAAGTGGCTTGAAGGAATTTACACACAGAGAACAATGCCATTTCGATTATTTTGAATTTGCACGCGTTCGGGCATTCAACTCCGAACAGCAGCTAATCTTATGTGCGAGGGCGTTTTGGCTGTCAGCCTGCATCCCGGCGGCTGCGTGCGCGCACCTGGCCAGCGGCGCCGCCGTGCAGGCGGGAGCAGTACCACGCGGCGGGCGCTCGATTTAAGACGCCACATACGCCCACATGGCCACGCGCTCCACCCCTTCCTACTTCCACGGACCGAGGGAAACGACACATTTCCTTCCCCGCGCACTAACGCTCAAAACAATACTGATCTTTGAAAACAGTTAGGCAGAATTTTTTTTATAGAAAATATAATCACCGCGTATCATTTAATTCTACATCCCAGGGTGAATCTTTTGATACATGTATTAGTTTGAATGCCAAAACCAAAGTTCACAGATTCAAAAAACAAATGTTTTGAGAAAAAACAGCCGAAAATAATTTTAACATTAATACAAAAATAGATATTTAATGAAGGGGATGTGTAGATTCAATATACAAACATTTTATCGCAATCTGCATAGCCATTTAATTTCATTGACTTCCCAAGCACCCCCTTCGTAACTTCGTCCTACCAAAACAACTCCTTCCTTCCACTTAGTAACTAATGTGCTTCTTCGCCGATTCAAAGCGCAAAAAACATGTTTTGAAAACTGGACGGAAACAGCCCACGCAGCTCGGATCTGGCAGGCGACCGGTTAGGCCTGACTTCACGTCTCTCGCGCAGATCCCTTCAAGCCGCTGTCCCTCCTGTAGGCTTGCCGAATTTTTCTACAGGATCACAACCCCCGCCGTGTGGAATGGCCAACTGTCTTTTTCATTCCACTGACCGGCTGCGCCCACCCTCCCGCCGCCTCCTCGCTGGCACCGAAACGGAGGGCGTCCGAATTAATAATTTCAAACGAAAACCGGAACCCTCGACTACGCCGCCCCGCGCATAAGGGGTGATGACAGGAAGCCGCTCTGTTCACCCTTCCTAGCGGCGATCCGGCGCCAACGCACTCCGCCGCTCCGTCCCTCCCCATTCCGCGCCCGAGAGGCGCCCGCCTCCGCGCTGCACTGCATTCTTCATCCGAACAGACATGTTAGAAGCCTGGATCCCGGCGTGGCTATGCGCCTCCCTAGCCCTTCGACCCATCGTCGCTACGAGCAGCAAACCACCCACATCACAACTACGAGGAGAATTTCCCATTACTTTTTGCTACGAATGGAATGGAACTAAATGATTTCTCGGAATGAATGGAAAACCAAAACCTACGGCTGAACGTATGAGTAGGGAAGAAGGTACTGGACGTCAGGTACATAAATGTCAATAGATGTCAGCAGATTCCCCCCAGAGACGCGAGGAACAGCGAGCAAGAGAGCAATCTACGATAATCAGTTGATTGTTAGTACCTTGGCCTGTGATGGGTGCTCCTCCCCCGTGTGCGAGGGGGGTGTAGACGGCGCGCTGAAGCAAACTTTGATATCTTCGGGATCATGGTGATTTTCTTGATGAGGATGATTGTTATAGTCATTCGCCCCCGGAATGGATCCACCTAGCGGAGAATGCTGGAACTCCGCCCGGCGGTACTCGACCGTAGTGCCCTCCAGCGTGAAGCGTTTCAACTCACACGACAACAAATAAACAACACGTACGAGCAAGACATTATTTCATTTCTTTTCCTTTCTTTCTGCTCATGTGTCTACTGTTTTCAAAGCAAGCGTCAACTGTGCATAAAAAGTGTTCGGTTGGGGTTGCGGCCGGGGCCTCGTCGGCGCGGGCGGCGCGGCGGCGCGGTGCGCGGTGCGGCCGGGGCGCGGTGCGCGGGCCGCGCGTGCGGCGCCCCTCGACACGTGCGTCGCGTCGGATGCGACGAGCGGCGGCGGGCGCGCAGGGCGAACGCTGGCCGGCGGGGCGAGAAGATCGCCGAGCCTTGTCCCTGCGCGGTCGGGTGCTGCTTGTGCCTTAGAGCTCCTGATTTGCTAGTGCCGCGCTGGCGTCGGGGCATGGGGCGGTCGCGCGAAGCGGACAGCGGCGACGCCGGCTGCTGACGAGCATGCACCGCAAGAAGAGCCGCACGTACTTCCGCTTCGCGCTCGCGACGTACAGCCACCGGCACCGCAGTCACGAACGCACCCGCGCACACACGGACGATCCCCTGACACTGTGACGCACGCGTTGCGGACGCCGCCTTTGGTCGGCGTGTCGCCGAGCGAGCGAGAGCGACTGGGCGGCTGCGCGACTAGCCGCTGGGAAGCGACGCGGACCTGACAGACGGCGACTGGCGCGTTGGCGCGCCGCCGGAGCGGCCGCGGGACGCGAACGCTCCGCTCCGCTCGCCTTGCAACGCGCGCTCCACGCCCGCGCTCGCGTCATCGCGCCGTGTGCGCTGCCGCCGCGCGGACTGCGTGCATGCCTGGCGCCGTCCCCTGCGCTCAGCACGCCTCAGCCGGCCGACACGCACTCGCTCGACTCCCGCGCGCACACACGCTTCGCTCCGTCAATGGCTTCGAGCCGGAACACCCGGGTTCGCAAGTCGCGCTTCCAGCAGACTGCGGCTGAAGTAGGGAAAAGGGAATGAAAAAAGATCTGAGGATGAGGGACGTCGAAGGGCGGGGGGCCGGGAGGTGGAGTGGGATGGGGGGCGAAGTGGGGTTACTGGAGACGAGGGGAGCGAGCGAGAATAACGCTTCTTTCTCCAGTTGGTGTGTTTGCCGATGCTTTTACCCTCATATTTAAGGCTTGTCTAGTATGCAGTCCCTAACTAAAAACGAAAGAAAAGCGCGTGGCTGCCAGGGGGGGACGCGCCGCGAGGGGAAAACGAAAATCACGCTGTGCACCTCTCCCAAACCTCCGGCACTGCTTCCCACTCCTCCAAGTACCACCAGAGCATTCTGTGTCACACCATATCTGGTCACTGCTCGTTTCGCCTGCCCGGCGCAGTAGTTTCTTTCTTCGATCGACCTCGCGTCGCGGAACAATTCTTCGTCGCCCGGCGCGCCCGACACGCCTAAGGGAAATACGCGACGTTTCCTTCAAACGCGATTTCGCTACTCGTGGCCAGCAGCGTTGAAACGCGTGTAGGTAAGGGCGTCGGTGTTGGGAAACTGGCGTGCCTCTGGACCACGTGAAGCCGATAGGCAGCAGCGGCGGCGGGCGCAGCAGTCGCGCCGTCGCGCAGGCCCGCGCCGCCCTGTTCTGTCGCGTCCGCGGCCTGGGGCCTCGCGGAAACCTGTGCTCCGGTGGTTCACAAGAGCTTGGCGGGGGCCCCCCCGTCGCTGTCTTCGCTACCTCGGCGCGCGCAGGCGCCCCGCCGGCTGTCCAAACGCGATTGATCCGCGTCCAGATGTAGCTTATCTGCGGGCGCATGGCCACCGCCAGCGAACGTTATAGAACGCTGATGACGTCAAGCTACCGATGGCGTTGTTTATTCCTCACACCGAAATGCTTCGCGGAACTCTTTCGCTTAACGGCCTCGTTGCGCGGACTGTCGCCCACAAAAATTAAAAAATCAATCGACGGCGCTTTACCTGTTTCTTGATTGCTCTACCAGACACATTCAACAAGTTTTTATTTTTTGCTCAGAGACGTATCAACGCAAACACTCGCATCAATGCGTATAACTATTTACTTATAATGCCCGCATGATGCGATTGGGAACGTCTTATCAATCTCTTTTGGCCTAGCCAACCACTGTTAGGTTAGCCTGCAGGTGATGCCTGTGTGGCACACTGGTGGACTTTGTGGGAGCACGGGGCGCAATGCTCCTCCCCCCCCACAAGGCCTAGTTTTCGTTTTACACTTCTTTTATTTGATAAAATTTATTTAAATATTTAATTTATGTCCCGAATTATGTCATTATATCAAAAATATTGTACGTATTATATCTACAGTAGTAATTATATACAATATAATAAAAAATAGTTTTTATTATTTAACAAAAGTCTAAGATGCACTCCCCTCCCCAAAAAATGTTGGTTTGGATCTAGAGATATTCTAATACTCTAGCTTATGGGTAGGCGCGTTATTTCCCACACTCCCTGGCGGGAAACGCGTCTTTCTGGACCACGCATCCCTCCACGCCTGGCGTGGCTTCCGTCGACGGGAAGGCGCTGGCGGGGGTTGCGTCTCCGTGGGAGGGCGAGACGGCGCCAAATTCGGCGGAAACGGCGCCGTGTGTGGGCAGCCGCACGCGCGACGTGCACAGCTGAGTGAGGATGTTTTGCAACCGTTTCAACTTCCTCTGTACCAATCCCCAACCGGGTGCGATTTTTTTCTCGCCGCCCGGGACGCGACGCAGTTCTCGTCAATCCGAGAACGCCCGCGCCCACCGACAGCGATCATATATCGTGCAACGATACCACCCGACCTTCTTCAGATTCGTCCATGAGAAGCCCTCTAGAACTCTTTTTTTTGTATTCGCGGCCTCTATTTTTTTATAGAAGCAATGTCTTGTACGCTCGGCAAAACGCTTGCGCACCTCGCGCTCGATATAGGGAAGCCCCGATTTTTCCAAGCCGTTATTTGCTGACATTTGAACGCGATTGTGTGCGTGGCTTTTCACGGCCCGCTCCCTATATCTCCTTTGCACACCGGAAGCGATCCCCTTTACAGCTCCCTACTACTACATGTGTCGAATGTGGTTTCAATCTCTGCCCTCGACGAACAACACGCGCGTAGGTATTTATCTTGTGTGATTGGCAACGTTCCCGCTCATCCGCCCCCGGTTGCGCGCTCTGTGAGGCCTCGTACCTTCTGACGCGCCTCTTCCTCTCGGAAGTGACACGCCCCGTTGATTTAAAAGTCCGCTGGTTCCTTATCGCTGAGTGTCAAGACGTGAGATGCGCTAATGGAGACGCGCACACATCGGGCAATATCGACGCATGGTTGCCTCTTCACCGTTGCCCTCCTCCCGCGTGGGCCCAGCTTCGCCAACACCGCGCACCCGCCGCTCACGCGCCTCGCCGCCGTTTCCTGCCCTCCCCCCCCTCCACGGCCCCGTCTCCCCGCCGGCGCTTCAAACCGTCGCACGGCCCAGCCGGCCGCCCGCCGCCCCCCGCCGGCCAGACCTTCCGACAGGCCCGTCAACTTCTGTTCTCCGCGAGGTTGCTCCGCGATGGAGCGCGAAACGCGGCTTAATCAAAGACGCGACGCCTCCGAAGAAGTGCGAGTGCGCCAGTGCAGCAGAAAATAAACAGCGGGGAGGAGCGGCGATATTTTATTGCGGAGAGATTGCAACACCGTGGCGGTAATTATTAAAGCTCGCGTTACTCATTGCCGCTTAGGGAGAATCGTTTGCCTGCTTCCTACGACATGGAAGACTGCGAGTGCAATATAAAATAATTGGCAAGTATGATGTGAACTGTGTGCATTGGAATATTTGTGCTATTCAGGATAGTAATTTATTAATACTACTGTGACATTTTTTCCTGTATGGAACAGCATCCGAAGCACATTTGCTATATAAGAATCTTAATTTTCTATATTTTTACGATTTGAATATTTTAAAGGATTGAATTTAATGTTAAATCGTCTCGCTTCCTCTTCTACATATGTTCTTGATCCTCCTGAACAAGTAGCGCTGCAAAACAATGCTTCACCTTATCCACATGGAACTCTTCACTTTTGAAACGAACAAATCTGACGCGGACTAAATCTACACGCGAGTCAAATCTGTCAATATTTTTAAACGCAAAGCCTACACTTTTTTAGTATTTTATAAACCACTGAAACAAAGCAAACATAAGCCGGGAGCACAAGAGGCTGATGCAAGAATGTTTATTGAAAAGATTCTCAATAACAGACCGTTTACACAGCGCGCTCGGATCGGCAAAAACACCACTAGACACTGTAAACACATCAATGAGCGGGCGCACGACACCGCCCGTCATTCATGCCGCGATCGAGGCACACGCCCGCGGCGCGCCCGCCGGGCCGTATTTCTTATTGTGCCGTCTCTCGAGGAGCTTCCGGGAAAGTAAATCTTAGGGGAGGGGCCAGGGCCGCGGCGGCAGCGTTTCCCGCAAAAAAGGGCGTTAGTGGAGGTGAAGCGGTAGGCAGTGAGTTTTAGGGAAGGAAAAAACTTCCGACCGCACCCAGTTTAATAAAAAACGCGCGGAGGCGCCTACCTCTACCGCTCGTCCCACCTGTCAACACATGGGCGGCGGCGGCGGTGGCGGCGGCGGCGCGCGCGGCGGCAATCGATTCGGGGGCAGCGCGTGGCACGCGCCAGGCCCGCCGCCGCCGCCGTCGCCCTTCGCCGCGTGCGCGCGAGCGCTCTGCACTTGCTGAAGAGGCCGCGATTTTTTGCGAACGGCCCTCGCCGGCCGCCGCCGCCCCTGCCGCCGCCGCCCCGTGCCCGCGCGTCCGAGGGTGGTCCTGGCTGGCCCAGAGACCTACTGGCGCTTGCGGGGCCCCGCAGCAGGGGGCGCCGCCCGAGGGTCAGCGGCACTCGCAAACACCGGTAGTCGCGCCCGACGGCCCGAAGGAGGTGGCGCTGAGATGGCACAGCGTTCTTCCGCATGGGCGGGGCAGTGGCGACGCCCAAGCAAAATACGTATGAAACTCTCATATTGTATGCTAAAAGTTGAGGATGGTCAAAGAGACTGCATGTGCGCAGAAAAAATGGCTCGGGGACGTGGCATGGAAGAGATATAAACTGGGCAA